TTTCTTTTTATCATAAAGGAATTTAATTATTATTTATTTAAATAGGGCATTAACATATATTACGTTATTTCAGGGATTGGGTAGCAAGGTTTCTTAAGAGATATCTCAAATAGCATATGAATAATTTTATTTTACATGGGGTGGGTTGGCTCTTATTAATCTGATATATGTCAGCGCCTAAATAAATAAATAAATAAATATATTTTAATAAATGTGTATTAAAATTATAAAATAACTTGTAATTTCACATACAGCAGGTGACAAAGTCGTCCGCTTGTATTAAAAGTAATATTCTTGCCCGTATATAGTATATTGTATATTGCAAAAAATTACAAAAACTTAATCACTCGGACAAAAGACCTTTTGCAGTAACACGCAGAATTTGACTCTTTTTCTTTGTTTCATACGATTACGTGTAAAATTTATTACAAAAATTCTACAAGTTGCTATATAGAAAGTATCTCCTAGTTTAACTGTTTATTAATACATATTTAATAAAAACTAAATATAATTGACTCTTTTTATAAAGGAAATAGTGATGGATTAGTATTTTTTTTATACGCAAAAGTTTTTTCTCATTATTTTTAATTAGTGAACGAAGTCAATTCAAACATTAGTTTCGAGTATTTCTGCTTTCTTTTCTTTTTTCTTCTTTCGCACGTGTTCGGGATAGTCAAAATTTGTGCTCTCTGATTGGCCATCCCCTTTTTAGGTATTACTCGCTAAAATAAGTGGCTGCGGCTGTACAGTTAATGTTGTTAGTCGAAATACTCTATTTAGTCAACAATTTAGGCAATTTTGTGTCGAAATATATTTTGAAATGCATTATTTCTTGTCGAAATATCAAAATCCTAAATGCTTAAATAGTTGTCTAAATAAATATTATATGACGAAATGTCTAAATTTGTGATAAAGAGGACTTGTGCATTAAAAGTAACTAGTTTTTGACTGATAGTAACCAGATCCAAGTTATAAATATTTAGTATAGTGAATACTGTGTGAAAAAAAGCATTCATAAAAATGTAGGAAGATTTTCAAGCAGATGTCCTTTAGAAAGTTTATATACTGTATAAGCACAAAATAACGCACAGGGACGTTATTTTGAATAATAGCTGGATTAAGTTTAATTTAGGTCAAATTTCAAAATTATACCCTGCACGTTATAGGGTAATTAAACTTGCTTGATATGCAAGCGACAATTTTTGATCAAATCTATTTTGTATATAGCGTGCAATCCATAAAAAAAAAACAAGTTTGGATACTTGCTAATAAATAGGTTTATATATATATTTTTTAATTTAGACATTTCGACATTATTTAGACACTTCGGCATAATTTAGAATTTCGGCAGACTAAATATCAAATATCGAAATATTTCTACAAGCTCAAAAACAATTTCGGCTAACAACATTATTCACAAAGAATTTGTCGTTCACCAATAGTCTCTACTCCACATAGTACAAATTCCTCATCTGTTAGTGTTAGTTTTTTTAATCGTTTTACTAAAATTCGTTGTGCATTAAAATTTTCCAAAAAACTTTGATAATGATTGCCAGTTTCTTCTCCTTCAGCTACTTCTTTTAGAAATTCTGCCATAGTAGGTAAAGTAGAAGAGATATATGGGTTAGATTGAATAGTATAAGACTGAGTTGAAATATGAGACAATGTTTGATACGGATTATATAAAGTTGTTTAATGTGATTAAAATGGTTGAGCTCCAAAAGCTTGTATTGTGGCATTGGTAGTGATGATAAAAATGATTTGTTATAATGGAAATGGTGATAAAATCAATTGGGATGTCCTTGTAGTACTTGCTGTGGTAGTGGTTGCATAAGTTGTGCTTGTGGTAATTGTTGTACTTGAGGTGGCAATTGTTGTGGTTGCATAAGTGCATTTTTGGTGATTGTTGTGACAGTTGTATGTGCGGTGACAATGGTTATGCTTGTAGTGATATCGAAGATAGTAAAACTAGTGGCATTTGTGGTGATGTAGATAGTAGTGGTTGTAATTTGAGTGTAGTTTTTTGGAACATAAGATAAAAGAGGATGTGTTAGAGGATTTTCAACTGTAGCTAGTCCTTTGTTCTAAAAGTATGCCGGTATATAAATAAAGTTTAATCTATATAATTTTTTATATATTACTGTAATAAGATTAAATAAATACAATATGTATTTATGTCAATTGATATGGAATTATATTTTAGTTTTCTTTGAATATACTTAATAATTTCTTGGAATTATATTTGCGTTTAATAATTTTGAATTTTGACCTGAATTAAGTTTGATTCGACCAAAATTCGAAATAATGATCCTGCGCATTTTTTTTCCACAAAAATAGTACATTATTTTATCTGAATTTATATTTAAATTTGCCCGGAATTATACTTAATTTTTTAGAATTTACTAATCTTGTTTGAATTATAATATTACCTGAATCTACATTTAAATTTGATTATTATTTTTTTTTATTGAAATTATGTTTAATTTTGCCTGTAATTATACCAGAGCGTGGCGGAGGATATTATGGAGGAGTAATAGATTAGATTTTGTGCGTTTATGTTTAATCAATATTAGGTTCTTTGCAAGAAACAGAAGTGACTTTAAGACCTGATAGTTTAGTTTAAAGGAGGGTGAAACGTTAGCTACGCTCTTTTAAGAGCACTAGTTTTAGATCAAGTTGTTCTGGAGAAAAGATGATAACTGTCATTCTCCAATAAATTAATGCAGTGCTAAAATTAAATTATTAAAGATTTTTGACAATTACCAAATTTTAAAAAATTCAGGATTCATAGAAAACTACGTATATATTTCTATCACGCATAAAAAAAATCATTGCACTCGATTTTTATGTTACACATGATAATAAGAAAATTCGGATGGTCGAAATTCTCAATCATGATATATAAATTCTCGAATTTTAGAATACTGTATCAAAAATTTAGATGATCGAAATTCATACTGTATTACCTTTTCATCCAGTTTCTCCTTTTCGACTTTATGTTCGTGAGCCAGAATTTCATTGTATACATCATACGAAAAACAAAATGTTACAATGTGATATACAATGCGTATACTAACACCTGGTCTGTCTGTGTAATAAAGATTCTTCTTATATGTAATACTCTAGAATCTATCTGTTTTCAGCCTTACAAATTCTGAAGGCGAGCAAGATAATTTATGCCGATTGACGATGTCAGTCATGTTTTATGAATCATCGGTTTTATATTGGCTACTTTTTTTTGCTATGGGTGCATTACCGCAAGGCACCATCATTACAACACCAGATGTTCTCTCCATCCCTTACATTAAGAAAGCATTAACAGATTGTAATCAACAGTTGATAAACGCAAAAAATTTAGTAACTCCACAAGAGTTGAGAGGTGATAATGGCTGTTTTTTTGCTCCATTTCCAGAACAATTTAATCCATATACAATGATTTGTCCAGACATAGATACTGCATGTTGTGCATTAACTTTAACAGATAACGATGATCCTCCAGATAGTTTCTCAAATATGAATGGAAAGGGTGGGGATTTTGATGTATGGGCTAGAAAAAAAGAGTACAGAACATATATTCACATTCCCAGTTTTAATATTAAATGTGATGCTAGTAGTCATATTGTCAGCTATAACAATCTTCATGATCCTGATTATAAATATCAAAATAATAATCCAACCCAACACCCTGAATTAATCGTTGATTCTGAACGCGACCTCTATGGATATACAAAAGCACCATATGCTAATTCACTTTATACTAAAATACCATGTAAGTTTCCTTATATTGCTCCAACTGCTATATTACCATGTTGTGGTTATAATCTAGCAGAAGTTTACACCAAAAAACCATTTAACGTAATTTCGTAGTTCGAAGATAATGACCATACTTGTTTGAATATATATGATAATAGATCCAGGCAGCTTTCTGATTGTGAACGAAAAGCTCAACAAACTATGTTATTTATGGATGCACCATTTATTTATTCTAAAATTAGTATGAAAGTTTGTTGTAATTATCAAATCACCGTTGATATTTCTCGTACAGCTTTTCCGCAAACTTGCCTTTATATTAATGGTAAAAAGGTTGATGAAAAGGATCAAAAGGATCTTAGTGGGCTTGTAGCTGCCGGAGGTCGGGTAATGACCTCCTTTGGTTTATCTGCAGTTGGGCATGGAAATTTTGCTCCTTCTGGTGATAATTTGCACTGGAACGGTCAAGCAAATTAAAAATATATCTACAGCATTTCAGTTAATAAATATATTTACTTTTTCTGTACTTGATATATGCAATAATTTTACACCATCGACGGCTTACAAGAAGGCATGAAAATAATTCTTCCTTTAGGTATTTAAATATTTCAAGGAAGGCTTCGTTCGATAAATGTTCAGTAGAAAAAGGAGAATACATTTTTTATAAAAAGGTTAATAATCTTTTCAAAAGAATTTTCACGTTGGATTCTTTTAACAATTTCCATTTTTTAAATCTCATTCTTCATTCTTCGAGATAATTCTAAATCTGCTATATAGGATTTAAACGAACCAAGCAACTATTCTTCTTTATGCTGTAAAATATTACCACAATGAAGAACACAAAGGATATGTCTGGCTTTGTGAATTTTAATTAATAATTTATTTTCCCATGTAAGTACCTCGAAAGTCAATGTATTTTTCCATGTGTAACCGGCGTATTCCACTGGTTCATGATTTATACTCAAGTACCTAAATCTGATACTATTATGTTTATGTTCCCGGGAACAGTGTTGGCAGATGATGTCATATGACTTATATGACTTATATGACTAATCATATGACTTTATCCTATGACATCATATGACTTTGTCATATGACTATATAATTTTTTTTAGCTTAGATAGTATATTGCTTACAAAAAGTGTTATTCGGAATTTTGCTAGCTTATATATATAATTTAAAGAACTAATTGCTAATAAAATTGTATTTATACCTAATAATAAATAAATAGCTATGTCACGCTAAACCAGGAACGAAGAAATATAAGCCTTATTTAGAATTATTGGATAACCCGATACAAAATAGTTATATCTAGCAGTGCTACTTACTTCAGTTATTTTAGCAAAAGTTCATTACATGGGGTTAGGTTTAGCATTTGATTAGTTATATGATGCCGGCTATTGAGCTATCGGCAAAATGATTGTTGGTGAAGTAAGGCGGATCCAATATATAAATACATAAAAAATATCAGGTGCACGATTCAGTAAATCTATATTGATGTGAGCCGCTATAATGAAACTTGTAAATTTTCATATTTTATAATGGAAATTTAAGTAATTTTGATTAGACATATACGTAGTTAACAGATGGCCAAAGTAAATGTAAATAGGAAATAAAATAGCATATTTTGAATATCTAATCGATCAGTGGATTTAATTGTTAATATAGCATTTTTATTAGTACTAGTGTAACAGGAGGTGTTTACGTGTCTTTTTTATTTATTATATTTGTAGTGAAATATAGTATAAATTGAAATTATCATAATTTCACTCTAGAAAATCAAGGTTTCTATCAAGCGCTAATATAAAAAATTGTTACCAAACTTACCAACAGAAGGAAGCATTGATGTTACAAGACTGATTTAACACACGGTGTGAAACATATAAAAAAAATATTTTACAATACTTGATTGGACTTGATCAGTCAGCTAGTACATGTTATGATTATAATCCCACACCATTTTTTATAATTAAAAATGGTGTGGGATTATAATCATAACATGTACTAGCTGACTGATCAAGTCCAATCAAGTATTGTAAAATATTTTTTTTATATGTTTCACACCGTGTGTTAAATCAGTCTTGTAACATCAACGTTTCCTCCTGTTAAACTTACCACTATTCTAGTGAACACATATTACGTAGTTAAGGTTGAGTTGCCTTGCCTATGCCTTTTATTGCAAAACTACCGTTCCTGATGGATCATCGGCACTGTTCCTGATGGGATGAAAAGAAAAATCGATTTACGTACCGTTCCTGATGGGGTTCTTAAAGGAACTCCGAAGTTAATTCTCATGAAGATGCTTAGTTATAATGCGAATGCTAAGTCATAACCCGTGATTAATTCACAACGTTGATTTCAACTTGCCTAAATATTGGTCTTGAAATAATACAGTACCATATCTACGCGAAAAACTTCCATAGCTGATAGGCGTTATTCGAGACACGTAATTTAAAGAAAGCTAATAATTAATTTAGCGAAAGAATTATTAACATTAAAATTATGGCTAAATTAATTATTAGCTCTCTTTAATTACGTGTCTTAAATAATGCCCATTGCATTTTTCGCGTGAATTCGATAAGAATATTTGGGTTGAAAAACTTCATTAAATGATTGAATAATAATTTCCGTCTTTTTTTTTTTTTGAATTTTATGTTACGCGTTGATCTTATAATCTTGTTGGGCAGTAATAATGGACTGCCAAATTTTTTACATTTGCCTTATATTTCGACAGTAGTTTAGTTTTTAGAACCCTATCAAGAACGGTACGTAAATCGATTTTTTTTTTCATCCCATCAAGAACGGTACTGATGATCCATCAGGAACGGTATTTTTGCCCTTTTATTATTACCGTAAAAATTCTGTCACAAAATTTACTCGCTACTCCAGTGGCACATAGCATGTTGCTCATAGGCAGACATTCGTATGATTGGCAGTTTAAATCAAATTAATTTTACATTATTTATACAGTTTAAAGTACTT